ATACGCCCACCGAAGGGAGGTGACAGCTCCCGTAAGGTGTAGGTAAGTCGTGCCTCGCGTAGGCCCTATCCTGTCGTAGGGGCTCGCGAGAGGTATGGCTGGCGCACCCGGCCGGAGCGGCTTGTGGAAACTCCATGTATATTTGCGACGAAGGGTTGTAAAAACCAACTACTGCGTGACGCGGCCGGGAGGGTCCTGCGCTGCCCTCGTGCGGTGCCGGACCGATTGCGCCCGACAGGTGGCGCTGTTGCCGGGGATAATGGTTGCCTGCCATTGTCCCTGGTGGAACGACATCCGGGTATGAGAAGTGAACGAGAAAAGGCATAGAGGAATGATGAGAAGGTAAGGACAGATAATGAATGACTAAGTGTAGGTGAGGAAATTTACCTACCCAAGTAGAGGAAGTATGAAGGACGATCGTGTTAATATTGGGTAAAGTAAGTACTAAGGGTTAGGTAGGAAGGATGGAATAGACCGGTCAAGGTATAATGTTGAATATGGGGATGTGCTTGTTTTCTTTTGCCAGGGAACTTAAAAAGGAAAGGCTATCAAGATGTCTGAGACCGGCGGCCCATCAGTTGTTCCGAAGAAGGGCCTGACACTCGATGACCTCATTGCGGCCATCGACCGACATGAAAGGAACCCGAGCAACATCCCAAAGGTCGATACTTTCCATTTCTGTGGGGAGAGAGTCTCAGAATGGCTAGAGCGGGTGGAACAAGCTTTGGTCGGGCGGCCAAATGTTGTAAAGTTTCAATGCATCCTTCAGTATGTCCTCCACAGCTACCACCAGGAGGTGAAGAAAGTCATAGAAGCAGCCGCTGGTAGCTGGGAGAGATTCAAGGAGGGGATGCAGAGGAAATACCGCCTGGGAGACGGATTGTTGACTACCGCGGACCTTGAAGCGATGAACAAAGAGGATTTTACGACGATAGGGGCCTTTGTACAAKAAYTTAAGAADAGGGCGCGGAAGGTCCATGGGATTTCAGAGGAAGCACAGTGCGCCATCTTCCTGGGGCTACTCACGGCATCGGAGGCCGTCGAGTTGACGAGACATGGAGGAGGTAGCACTAAGCTCACCTGGGCCAC